ATTGTTTTAGAGAGTGTGCAGCCGCTTTGAAGGATTTCTTGAAGCCTGAGCCTACTGTCAGCGGCAGTTGTATAGAGCTTGAGAAAACAAACACCAACACTCACTACTCATAAGGAAAAGGAAACTTACGATAACAGGTAAAGAAACATGTCAGGTAAGGTAATCTCGAAAGCGATTGTGGAGAATACGGTAACAAGCGGTTTTCATAAATTAAGCAAATATAGTAAATGCCTGCAACAAAGTATAAATATACTGATGTGAAAAAAAAAGTTATTCTCAAGTAGAAAAAACCTCATTAAAAAAAAATGCCCCTTTGCTTTCCTAAGCGGTTGCTAGCTTTCTAAACTCAAGTTTTAACAGCTGGCACACACGAAATTGAGGAACGATGTGAACCGCAAACAAACGTCTACAACCATGCGCAGCGGGACACTACGTGCATGACATTCATCACAACATGATTGCACTTGATAAATCAAAGGACCAGGGCCGGCTTGCTCGAAGCAGAGTCGCAGCTGAGACTGCTCAAAGAAAGCGCTGTCAAGGCTAGCGCTCGAGCTTAAACCGAGTCTCAGACGCTCGCGCGCCCGAGCCTTGGCAGCGGTTTCTTTGAGCAGTCTCAACTGAGACACTACTTCTAGCAAGCCGGCCCAGATGTCCCATCCACAATTTACAGCGTTTACTTAGCATTAATGTTTACTTTTGTTTTTACAGCGGAGCTGTTAAGGGCTAGTTTGCCCAAAATCGTGTCCGTCAGCAAACAAATGATGACGCAGAACACTGGACAGTTACCGCCATCTGTGAGCGATGGCGGCAACCAGACAACTGGCTTGCCGGTTGTCTGGTTGCCGCCGTTCCTCATAGATAGCGGCAACCTTTCGAGCCTTTCCACTCTGGCTTGCCGACTAGCGGCCGGCCATTACTTCATTCCCACCATAGTACAGCTTCGCTGGTGTTCCTTCTACAGCAAAATGAAGAGGCTGAATTTTTTTTTATTACTTTTTTAGGTCACCTTTTTTACTTGTGAACGTTGTGAATTACGGCCAAAGCTGAAATTGATGAACAACTGGGGCACGAGGCCCTTCCGGGTTGATAAACGAATTGAAACGAAGTATTCACTGGCGTCCATAGCTGTGTGCGCGACTACTGAGCGCGTGCTGATTGCAAGCTTCCACTGTTCTTTTGCAACGTGCATTCGACACTATCAAGATTGTCGGTCTTAGCAGCTTATTAATGTGAAGTCGTTCTAAGCATGTGCTCTAAAAAGTGCCCTCAAATATAGCGTCTAGTGAAAGCCCCCTACTGGCGACGTGCGCGATCAAAAGCGTCGCTGTGGGCGGCCGTGCACGATTGGCCGAATTCCGACTATGACGTCGGCAAAAGATTTCTCATCGACGGAAATTAGAGCAATGTAAGAACTTCAATTTTGACGGCGTTGGCAGTGTTGGTTGCAGAGCGCTATGACATTAGAAACAGCATCGAACTTGTTGGTCGCAAGGTAATGACGTCACGAAAGGTAACCATACGAGGGCGCCAACAAAACATCTCGCCGCTGATAGGGAGTATTCGCTGGCGGCCATAGCTGTCTGCGCAACTGATGAGCGCGTGCTGACAGCCAGCTTGAACAGTTATTTTGCAACGTGCATTCCGCATCACCAGTTTTGCGCGGTCTTAGCAGCCTATTAATGTGAGCTTGTTCTGAGCATGCGCTCTAAATATAGCACCCCAAACATTCACAGGGTCTCTTATGTTACCCCTAAAACGACTTCAAGGCGAAAGCGCCGATGTAAACGTGATAGCGAACCTCCGAAGACAGCGCGCTCCCTGACGACGCACTTTTGGTGCCGTTTCGTTGGCTCACTCGGATTGTGGCGTCGGCTGTGGTCCCGGTCATAGCGAACCTGCGAAGACAGCACGCTCTCTGACAACGCACTTTTGGCGCCGTCTCATTGGTACCTTTCGGTTTGGAATCTTTCGTGTCGGCGACGTGTTTTCGCCAAAGGACTTTGAAGGTCGACTGAACAATGAGACATATAAGGCTCTCGCCTTAATATGGCGTCCAGCGAATACCCTCTGTAGATAAGTTAATTGCAAGCATGGAGTCCCTTCTGGTGCCCCATGGGTGCAAGCACGTGCAGCGTGAGCGTGAACGTAGCTTTGAAAAGCTTGAAATTGCACGGGGGTGCCCGCACGAGCAGAAGCATGGCGGCGGCCAGTCGCCCTGCTTGCAATCGTCTATATATACGTTGCACTGCCGGGACAACGGTGGCCATTGTTGTGGCCATTTTCTGGTGAGCGCGTCCCTTCTGTAGAAAACATTTTACTCCATCGAGTATGTTCTTCTCCGTTATAACAAGTACAGGAATAAGCACCAGCACGGTGCAATGAAATTATGTGCAAGCCATGTATATGATCCAAAAGGCAGTAATAGACCGATCTCACCAAGCGTTCGACGCATGCGCGAAGCAGCCATAACTTTAGTTCACACAGAAGGCAGTCGGCTGTGCACGAGACTGTTCGTGGCCCGCACGCGCAGAGGTCCAGCGAGGTTGTCGCACGCGAAGAAAGACTAAAGTTCCCTCGATGCTTTGCGGCAGCGGTGGCGTAGTCAAACTGGCTGGTGAGATCGGTCTATTAGCACGAAGAGAGGAAACGAAGCCTAATACTCCACTATTGCAGGACTCGGGTATAAGTGCCGGAAGGCACTCTTTGTCTATTCAGCGGGGGACTACGCCAGTACAATCTCCTACATTGTTTCGCCATTTGTTATCGGAACCCCTATAAACAAAACTTTTGTTACAGTCTCTATTCATAGTTTTTAACTTCTTCGTTTGGGTTTGGTCGATGTAGCTCGTTACATGTAACATGTAAAAATGTAAGTAAGGTAAGGATCGATGCTACGATTTTTATTAGGTAAATATTTGCAGAACATCCTTGGGGGCGTTGTTTGTTGTTTTTTTCTTTGTTTTTTTTTTGTATTGTGAGCAGCACATTTACCATTCCGCTTGTGCGTCGTTATAGTACCACTTTATTTAAAATATACAATTCATTAACTAGCTCAACTTACCGCCTTACGAAGCTTCAGAAAACCAGGGTCAGGTCGCTCAGTCCTATAACCTAAGTAAACGTTTCCATTTGGGCTGCCCACTCATCATGCCTCTAGAAAACATAAGCACGTGCTAAGCGGGGAATTCTTTCTGAAAGGAGGGTTAGTACGCAGCTGGACAAGCATGAGGCGTTTTGTGTCGCTGTTCAAATCTCGTGCGGAGTGTGCAGATGTGGGTTTCTCCCGGGGGAATCAAATCATACCCAACGTATTTCTCAATTAGCACCCGCGAGTACGACTGTCCAGAGAAGCAAGAAGGAATTGGCTGCTAAACAAGAAACGTGGCGAATTAAAACAAAAAATACAACACAAAAAGCGACGAGAGGAAATTAGAGAAGCAGCACAATCACACCAAGCAACACGCCTTGCGGTTCTTACAGGTGTATAAACAACAACCATTGTTGTGCCAACACGCGAGGCACGTGCCACGAGCGAGCACTGGAAGTGGCGTCACAAGGGGGGGGTGGGGGGGGGGGGGGGGGGGGGGGGCGGCGGGTGTATCTCAAAACGTCCCATTCGCATTTGAACCTTGTACATTTCGACCCATTCTCATTTGGCCCTTCTCGTTTGAACCTTCTCATAACATCCGAATCGTGTTTTTCGCAACTGGACCCATTCTCATTTCGCCCGTTCGCGTTACGACCGAATGGCACTAGTTCGGTATGCTTCTAACGTCGTTATGCCTTCGCGGCTTTGTTGATGAGCCTTACCTTGCTTGGGCGCCCAACATATCATCAGATCTATGTCTTGGGCGCCCAACATATCATCAGATATAGAGGTACGCACTGAGAATCGTACATTGACGCCTGCTTCCCTTCCTCTAAGCAAACGAGAGAAAAAAAGCGATGAACATTTAATTTGGAAACTTTGTTTTGACAGAAATAGCATACATAATAGCAGTGGTTATCAACCATTGATGTTTCGCGGACCCCTTGTAGAAAGGCAGAGATGATGGAGGACCCCGTCCGGGGTGAGGGGAATAGGAAAGTGTAGGTTATCATGGTAATGATTTAATAAATGGATATAACTAATTGCTAGTGTGAAGTAGACTTATCTCATTGACATACACACGAGAGTACTTTTCCAAAAATTGAACGTTTCTCCTAACGTGAAGAAAGACAACTAATATTGCCGTGCCTGACTGATGAGATAGGGCTTCGCGGACCCCTAGGAAGCCTTCGCAGACCCCCTTTTGAGAACCACTGCATTATAGAAGTGGTGGCATTGTCCCAAGTTGAGAGACCTCAAACAACGTGACATTTCGGAATATGATCTGGCTGCGATAAATAGTTGGTCTGTTTTATTGTCAGCTAGTAGATTTTCACGACGACCTCGACCCACTGCTAAAATCCTTAGCAGAGAGAGTATGCCTGTAGCGTGGCACACACACACACACACAAATTATATCAATGTATTTATTAATATTACCCTAAAAACGATTTTGGTATAGAAAGAGTCAAGTGCGACGGGGCCAAAGCGAGATATTTTTGAGAATGGCTGTTTTGAAAAGGGCCGGGTGAAAAGGGCGAAATGAGAACGGACCCAAATGAGGAGGGTTGGAATGCGAAAGACGAAACGGGAAAGGCCCAAATGCGACAGGTCCAAGAGAGAACATCTTTTTGAGAATGGTTGTTTTGAGAAGGGCCAAGTGAGAAGGTCGAAACGAGAACGGGCTCAAATGATAACCACCCGGGGGGGGGGGGGGGGGGGGGGGGGGGGGGGTGCCGCTGACCCTGGTGACGCCGCTGACTGGAAGAACATCACGGTATCTTGATAGTGCACTAAAGGGCGTCACTACTGCTGTCTCTGCACATTGTTTTGTTTTGAACATATGTCTCGTTCCTTACTTGGAGTGCTCTTCGGCGTTAACGTTGAAAGCGGTGTGTTGCGCACGTACCTGAACGATGTAGTCCGGGACATCTTCAAGTTTCTCGAACGACGTTTCGTTCGGGCTAGCGATGTAAAACAGGTAGCCGAGACGTTTGGCCAGCTCATTGGCGGGCAGCATGTTTCTCGCTTAGTGACAGCGAGTGAACGTCGCTCTGGCAGAGCGCGCTACAAAGGCTATCTCTGGTATCACGAGTGCGACCGCATCATATCAAAAGTTCGCCCCGGTCAGATCGGCTCCCCGCCGCGAACGAGATCCCTTTCAGTCGTACTTTTTCCCTGTCTTTTTTCTTTTTTTATCTTTTTGGATTTGAGCAGGTGTACCGGGACCACTGCGCAGAAACGGTGTTGTTGCGCATACGGACGAGTGATAACCTTGGGCAGGCTTTTTGCGATTATCGCTTCCCCTCGCGGGGATCATTCTCGCCCCCTCAGAACACAAGCTGGGAAAGCTCATACACTTGGGTCAGTGCTGCCATCTACCGTGAAGGGTATCAGTCAGCAAACCCCGCTCGAGCCGTGGCGGGATGGACAAAACGAGTTTAAACAAAAAATACGCTTGTCGTTGCTTTTTGGGGCGAAGCTCCCCCTTACAAAAAAAGTGTAATTCCTTTTTGTGGAAAGTCTGCTGAAAAAAGTCAACACAGGTATTAAATGTCAACAGCTTTCCATCATACTTTCTGCAGATTCTATTTAGCTTTTGATTTGACTTCCAGGAGCCGTTTGGCCCAAAGTTCATTAGAAAGGCAGTAGACTTCTTGGCGCCTAGGTGTCTACTTTTTGTAGACACTCCACTGAAAAGCTAAACCTCTAGCATAAGACAACCTTGTGACTCCAAGGCGATATTGGCACCAGACCATTTGTAGTCTCTGTGTCGCCAGAGCCTACAGCTTTTCTTGTGACTACCTTGCGACTTTTCGCTGTCGCAAAATGACGTAAAAAAAACGCGATTTTTTTATACTTTGTTAGTATGTTACCAAATCAGTAAATGTTAGTAAATTGTGTGGTATTTGAAGGTACCACTACATATATCCCACAAATACACATTAGAAACGAACACAAACACACCATGAAGCACTGAACACCTGAATCACACTCCCCTTGACTGCTCCAGAGCCTTATCTAGCCTACATATTGAAGGTAATCATTTTGCCGGTGACCACCTTAGCACTTATAAAGGTTCCAAGTATCCGATCGTCTCATCAGGAGTCTGTCGAAGGGAAAACAGTGTTTCGAAGTTCGTGGACGATATCTCTTACTAAAACGCATTGGTACAACTAATAATAATTCGGCGCTGTCGCTAAAGCAACATCCACAAAAACGGCTCCTAGAAGAAATATTATCGCTTCTTTGCATATCACAACTCAGGACGAAGCGAGTCAAGGCAGTTTCTCAGCTTTCAAATAGTTATTTTTATTTTCTTTACTATTTGACTATTTAATGTGGTCATTAAAGGAGCTGTGCAACGATTTTAACGTTGAAAGAATTGGCATTTTCTGCTTTTGATATTGTTCACTCTGTCACAAATGGCAGAAAACACACCTCCTTTCATCGAAATGTTGCGATTCCGCCGCGTAATAGCGAGGCAAAACTTGGAATATTTCACGACCTGCAGCCACGAGCGGCGGCCATGAGAAACAAGCGGCGTGACGTCACTTGGGTAGTTATAAAAAAGATAGCAAGTTGTGCGAATAGCTGCCCGATAAAAGGTAACTTTTCTATAAATCTTGTCGTTCCAACATATATATAAATGCGTCAAAACCCTGGTATCATCGACAAAACTTTTATTATACGGAGTTTTAGTGGCGCCATCTATCCTAGGTCCACAAAACCGCGAATAGCCGCCAGAAGCCGGATGGGGAGGGGGACAGCGCCGGACGGGCAAAGGACGGGCATGGCCGGACCCGGATGAGACTTTCCTCCCACGCGCCAAATTACAGCCACCATTGCTGACCTTTTCTTGTCTTACCGAGATGCCGAGCAACTGAAACGGTAGTTGACGATCCTCTACAAAAGGCCGATGCTCTAGAAAAGGACAGTTGAATCTAATATGGCAATAACCTGGCCTGCTATGGTAATGATGAAGTGAAATAAACGGAATAAAAGGAAACAAATACTGAAGGTTAGTTATGGCGGCGTCCATGCACAGCCGCTGCAAAGCGTCTATATTTCGCGGGGCGCCCGCCAGCACGTGGTCACGCGGTCGCGAGCGGATGAGTTCTCGCTGCTCGCTGATGGCTCTAAAGAGAGAACTTTTCCGAAACCCCGCGCCTACTCAAGTGACGTCACTGCGCACGTGACCCGGAAGACTCTGTACGAGTTGAGAGGGGGCAAAAACCTGGATCTTTTCAGTTTTTTAAATAAAAACAAGGGTATCCAGGCAAAATCTGTTTTTTGTAGTTCACTGCAGAAGTGTCAGGCATCAACTCCCACAATTATTTATGCAAAGCCCTGAAATTGTTGCACAGCTCCTTTAAAGTCACTATAGTCACAAGGTCAGAACGGCAGGGAATGCCTTTCGAACGCCTGGCCTCTAGGACGCGCCCCATGCCTTCCGTCGTGCTTTGACTGCACGCGCTCGCTCGAGGTGCACAAACGCCGAAGCGTAGTCAAGGGTAGTAGGCTCGCGCTGGAGGCGGGACAACTGAAGCTGCTTCCCGTTCTCACTTCGTCAGAAACTACTGAGAATTAAACTTAGCGACTTTTGACATCTATTCGGGGTGTACTATGTTCAATGAAAAGTCAACAGAAAGTCTGTAGCTTTTCTATTGACATTGGCGACCGAGAATCAACTGAAAATTTTCAACACAAAGTAAACAGAACGTCTGCAGTGATTCTGATGACACTGTCAACAGAAAGACACTGTCAACAGAAAGTCAGCAGAAAAAAAAAATCAACATAAAGTTAATAGAAAGTCAACAGCCTTTCTTTTGACTAAGGCTGAAGAAAATCATTAGAAAAGTTTCAACACAAAGTCAACAAACTTCCTGTTGTCCATGTCAACAAAAAGTCAAAGTCAAAAGAAAGTAATCAGAGTCAACGAGAAGTCAACACGTTTTCAATAAAAAGTCGAAAATCATTTTTAGACGGACAAGGTCTAGCCTTGTCCGTCTGTCCGTCCGTCCGTCCGTCCGTCTGACGTCCGTGCTCACATGAAAAAAAAAAAAAAGTTTGCGCAGTCGAAAGGATTTAAACCTGTGCGGGGAGACCTCAATGGATTTCTAGTCCATCGCCTTAAAGGGACACTGACAGGGTATTTATGCTCGCCGAGGTTTTTAGTTGTATATGACATATGAGAGCCCAACTACTCAGAACAGAATTTGCGACACGAAATTCGGTTTCCTTCCACCCGAAAACCTCCGATCAAGAACTGGCCGGTTCGAGTCTCGCTCACTCTCTTTTCCGTGGTCACGGGCCGTTTTCCAAGGTATCGAAGCGACCACCAAATTTAATCAAAGTCGTTGGTCACTGAAGGCACACACTCAGTATTAAAAATAGAAAAAAACATGAAACACATTTTTTTTTTGTGGTTTATAAAAAGCTGCAAAGACGCCGATTGGAAAAAGAAAGTTCCACAGAGAACCGGAAGCATTCTGTGCGTGCGTCGTTTCGCGTATCGTGGGACTCGCGGGGACGGCGATGGCAGCGGACGACGGGCGTGGGACCTCTACTTCAGAACTGTCGTTCGCGGTACCGGCGAATTCTGTCTGCCTTTAAAAGAGGAATTTGGGACTTATCAAGAGAATTGGTGGTCATTACGTACGACAACCCGACCACCAAGCCGATTTGCACGAAGACGTCGCCGAGCCGTCGCTCCCTTCTCCTGGCTGACGACATCGCTCGCGCAAACGTCAAGCACCGCACGAAGTGTTTACTTCGAGTTGAATATGCACGCGTACGATTTCCTTACTAGGTGCGAATGTCGCCAATGCGTCGTGCTTCCTGACTTCGCCCCAGAGTGCTTTTGCTGAAGAAAAATCGGCAGCAAACTTTGCAACTTACAGTTTACCGGCTGAATTATTACTAAGGGAAGAGATCCCCCAATGAAGAGATGCCCCGGTAGCTCAGTGTAGAAGTGCTGCCTGTTAAAACATGGCTTGAGAGAAAAGGGTTCTTTGTAGCATTGTCGACCAATTGTGCACTGTGTCCTTTCCCGGAGTCTTAGCAACACGTTTTTCTGCTCTGTACAAATGCGGAAATATTCTGGTCTGAACTTCGAAATGCTTTTAGCATCAGTGCACAGTTGAACTGGGAGACCTTGAAATATCTTTAGGTGGAGATAGGTGAAAATAAAAAATTCACAGAACGCTACTGCTGCTCGGGTTGCACGCCATCTGGAGATCTCGAATGGACCAGACTCTGGTGTTAAAAAAAGGCAAACCTGCTTGGCACCACTTTGTTGATGACTGCATACACCAGTAGCCTCCTGGAACACACTGAAATGCCGGGTTTTGAGTCATGGCCAGCGATGGAAGTCGCTTTAAGAAACTATATGGTAAAAAGAGGAACATTTAAGCACTAGACATTGTATAATGCTCAAACCTCTATGTGAATGTACCGGATTATGCATATGTAATAAGATCTAATTTTGTGTGAGTGCTCTTTGGCCAAGGTGGCCCTCTGTAATGCTTTTAATATGTAAATAAACACATTTTACGAAAAAAAAAAAAAACATCCCCGGTAGCTCAGTGAGAAAGACGTCGCTTAACACGCGGTAGGACCAGGTTCAATCCCCAGTAAAGCTTTTTTTTTTTTTTCAAACATTTTTGATGGTATCTTTTCTTTTTTTACAATTATCACTGAGGAAACAAACAAAACATAACTAACAAATGTTGTGGACGACACGTCGCTGAATTAAATGGCATGGGATTTCCTTTTTAACACCTGCGAACTCAATGTAATCACTTTCCACAAAATGCAAGGAGCATATAAATCAGGTATAGCCTCCGCTTTCTGTGGTGCCCGTAAATGTTCTACGGGAATTGCAGCCAGCCATTGGTCCCGATCCCGTTGATCTTTCGGAAACTCTGTCGCACAATGCCACTTTTTTTCGGACGCAGGACATGTGAGCCAGCTCTTCACGCAACATCTTGGGTGTATTCTTTTCGGAGCCGATCAGCGAAATTAACCACGGGCACTCACTACTCATCTCCCAACTTCTCAATGTAAAAAAAAAACAACTCATCTTGGAATACAGAACAGCGAGCGGAACAAACATAACTGCAAAAGAATCGCGAGGCAAACAACAGTTCCCGCTTCGCCACATGTCGTCTGCTACGCAGAAAAGAAAAGAAAATCAAAACGCACGGTCGGGTGTAACCACGTGACTTCCGCCACTCACACTCTTCTCTCCACT